GAGTATGCAATAACCACTAGTATTGAAGGTTCAATTTTTGTAATAGCAATTGAATTGCTTAGAAAAATATCATCTCTTTCATTATCTACAAGCTTACAACTGAAGTTGCACAAGTATCAACTCCTGAATCAAAGTCTGTAACTCAAACTCAAGAGGAAATAAAAAAATGTATAATTTAAATTATTTTTGAATAATAAAATCTATTTTTATTAATTTGTTGATTTATTTAGAAAATAAAGAGTTATGTATAAAGGTAAATGAACTAGAAAAAGTAAATACCAATTTGGAAATACAATTAATTACATTGGAACATATAAATAGAATATTTTTTGACAATCAAATTAGCAAAAGAAATATATTAAATATCTAAAAAAGGAAAAAGAATAACTAAAACCATATAAATTAACATTAACATCAATAATAGTTGTAGAAACTAAGGCCAAGTGGCCCCTAGATTTGGTAGTTAGTGCCAACCAACGGTAAAACCGGAGCATTTACTAGGAAGTGTATATCTGCGTCGACGGTCCCAAGTCCATATGTGGCGTGTGCACGGTGGAGGTACGACGTGATAGGTACTTATCTAGGCAGTTATAGGACTATCACATAGCGGTAAAAGCCAGGGTATGAACCCACCCCCGGGTGTTAGTTGGTATTCTGGTAAAAAGGATGGGTTGCGGGGGTTAACATTAGCAATAGCTAGTAGACCGTTCATGTATGATAATTGTGATAGTAATGCATCATCAATAAAATCCATGCGTGTATCGCAACTTAGCCTTAAAAAAAAAAAAAAAAAAAAAAATAGTTGTAGAAACTACAAAAGTGATATCTAAACCTCAAAACCAACCTGAACCTCAAAATTAATTTGAACCTAAATATTAACCTGAACTTGAATATTAACTCAAACCTGAATACCAATCTAAACTTGAATATCAACCCAAACCTGTATCTGAAGCTGAAACTGAATATATAATTTCAGATTCTGAAAATATGCCAAATATATTAAAGAGTTGAAGAATTACTGTAAGCTCAAAGAAAAGAATAAAAATGTTGAAAAGAGTAAAGATATTGAAAAGGACAAAGTAATAGAAACAGCTGAACCTTCAGAAACTGTTTCTAAAGATGAAAAAGAAAAGAAAGCAAGGGCTGAAATAAAGGTTCTGGTAAAAACTATTCCTAAAGAATTTCAACTAAGGGTAGATGAAATTTATTCAAGTGATACGAATAAAAAAATATTAAACAAGTTAATATCCAAATTATTAAAATTAATGGCCCCACATTTTAATTCATTATAAAAGCAACTAAACGATTGGTTAGGTGCTTTATATTATTATCAAAGAGGATAATATCAAAAGGCATAAACAGGAAAACTAGATGCAGACAATTGTCACTTACATACAAATAGCTGATTAAATAAGATAAAATCAATTGATATTTATATTATATTACTTGTATTAATTTTTATCAAATAATAAAGAAAGGACATGAAGAATCAAAAGTGCACAGTCACTTATTAACAAAAAGTTCAAGAGTATTGCAAGATATCAGAAGGAATTGATTGATATAGTTAAAGAACCAAAAGTTTATTCAGCTAAAGAAAGTGAAATTAATCCAGAAAATGACAATAAGAGAAAAATAAATATATATGACTATAGTTGATATTCTGATAAGATATTTTTTAATAAATAATTTTATGTCAAATAATTAATTTATTACTAATTATTTTATAGTTGAAAGATTTATTGAAAAATTTAAATAAATATTCAAAGTCAATTTAACTATTTCAACTGACTTATAAACAAAACTATGGCAAATTTTATTGTCACAATATAATTCTCCAAAAAACTTGTTAAATTGGACTTATAAATCAAATAATGAAAAGCAAGAAATAAAACAAAATAAAAAAGATAAACAATTGATAAAAAATATAAAAGACAAAGAATATCTAATTATAAGAAATCACTTATATATATATATATTTTAACGAATAATTTACACCTTTATTCAAATACTTGTTTGTACATTAGTTTCCTTATCAACACTCAATGTATCTAGAATTCAACCAACTTAAAAAGAAACAATTTGAATATACATTAAGAATTATATTCTACTATAAGATTTATCATCAGCATAAGCAACAGTATTTCTTGACTGATCTATCAAGCACTACGGATCCTAAAAAAAATTTTTCTATACTTTTTGACTTTAAACTTGTAAACTTGTTATTAGAATTCTTTTATATCTAACAAATTACCCATCAGAGTGATGTGTTTCTTCTTTTCCAAAGGGGTGGAGGAATGGCTTCTTTTTCTTTTATTAACTTAAAATAGAAGAGAAATAGTTTCAGTGGTCAGCTTTTTTGGTTCTATTTCATTGAAAGTATTTTTTCATTTGAAAGGCTGCCTAAGGAATTACAATTTGAAAAACTGATGGAACCTTGTTAATCAGAATATGTTTCAATACCTTAAAACCTATAGTGGGGTTGACAATTCAATCCTTTAGATAATATTTGATTTTAAATATAGGTTACTTATTTAAAAAGGCACAACTCTTCCAAAACCATACAAAGTCTTCAAAAAAGTCTTCCATTCTGATAAACATTATTAACTAAGTATCTTCACTACAAATAGAGTTCCTAACAATACTATTTCAGTATCAAGTCAGTATTGAATTTACTATGAGTTTAATATAGTGGGTTACAATCCATATATTAACTTTATTATAAGTCAGTATCAAGTCAGTATTATTTCAATACTTGGTTCAGAACTCTAACTACAAATAAAAATAATAGGTATTGTTGGCAAGTCATTACTTTTTTAAAGGGAGGAGTCATGTTAAAATTCTTGCTGACTGGTTTACAATTTGTGACTTTTCACAAACCATAGATTAGAATCAAAAAACCTATAGGAAAAAATATTTTGTCCACCTTGTTTATATTTAAAAAATTATTAAACTCTTTTGCATTTCCAATATATTATCAAATATAGATATAATGTAGAGGTATTAATTATTTATCTGCATATGACTATCATGTCTTATGATGAACCTAAGGTTCTTATGTCGCTTAGGAATATACATATTGCTGAAATTCATAGATTCTTGATGCAATTGACACAATTATTTAACGCAATTATTTGATGCAATTAATTGAGTTACTATTAAAACATATAAATAATTAAGTCATGACACAATTATTTTTAAGGATTTTGGGAATTAAGTTAACAGCAAAATAATTTATACCACATGTATACTTAGGAAATACATTTTCAATATATGTCTTTTGTTTATTATTATTTTTTTTTATATGTAGCTGTTGTCCAATCCAGAATTCAAACAATCAATTTTTAGCAGATCTGGTATAATCAAATTATCAGGATCAAACTAAAATAGGCAAAATCCTTCAGAAGAATAAAAATTTTTTATATATAGTGAGGGAGAAACTTGAGGTCTAATAAAATCTAACTTGAGGACAAGAGCTTGCTATGGCATAGCTTGTAACAAACTTTAATCCTAGACCTGCCTATCCTGAAAGATAAAAAGAAGAAAAGAAGTTAAGAATATAGTTCTTTTTTCTAAGAATATCTTTCTTGCCATAGAAAATTCAGGTTTTTTTAAACTTTTAAGTAGGATACTTAACCAGAAGGTGAGAAGGAAAGAAATAATAAAAAGGTGGATATAAAAGCTTCTGCTCTATTCAATATGATGTTTTAAAACAGTTATAAGACAAGATAACTGTTAAATATTGTTTTGGAGTGGTAGTTAGAGGATCAGTGAAAAGAGTTTTGGAAATTATTTATATATTTAGAGGAAAAGAAATATCAAATTGGAAAAAGTATATAGATGGATAAAATTCAGAAGACAATATTAAAGAAAAAAATTAAAGAAAAATTATAAGAAAAATCACAAAAAAGCACTTCAAAGCAAAGAAAATTTGACATTATAAAATCTTCGAGTATTATAAAGGTCATGACAAAATCAGTAAAAAAAAAAGATAATTATAAGCAAGAAAATTTGAATAAAGAAATAGAAGAGAAATTTAGTAAATAATAAGTAAATAATTAGTTAATAATAAATAAACAATTACTGAATAATTAATTAGTAAATAATTAACAAATAATTAATAAATAACTAACGAATAATTATTTCAAATTATATGTTTTTTACATTTTTAATAAATTTATCAAGTATTAATTAAATTTTGCTGAATATTATTATAAATATAATTTTTTTATCGAAAATATATAATTTGATTTTATCAAAATATATAATGCTAAATAATTTTGTTAACTTTATAGTTAAATAATAAAAATTTATTCTAAATACTATAATTTTTATTATAGAATGTTGTAACTTTATTGCCAAATATTTTTTAACTAAAAATATTTTTTTGTCAAATAATTTTATTACTGAATAATTTTATTACTGAATGATTATTTTTTTACCAAATGTTATATATTTTTTTTCAAATTATTGCATATTTAAATACTGAATGGTATAAATTGGATCAAACAACAAAACTTCAGTATAAACTTTTATTAATAAATTTGAATTTAATTGGCTGTAATTCAATAGCCGAATAATCTAATTTGGACTAATGTTCTTTTATAATAGAAGAATTGAAATTTATCAAAAAAATTATATATAGCTATTTAACTTTTCAAACACATATTATAAGTAATTAAATAATTTAAAAAAAAATTAAAATTTTTCTATATTGTATCTAACTGCTAAACTTTGAACCTTAATCCTATTTAATTATATTATTTCAATATCACTTCAATACCAATTTGATACTTAAATTTACTATAAATTTATTTAAGTAGGTTACAATCCATATATTAAATTTATTATAAATTAATATCATTTCAATACCAGTTCAATACTTTTCAAAACCTTAATACTATTAAATATCTTTGGAATTAAAGTATTAAATTCACAAGTATATTTTTTTATCAACCAATAAAATAATAAATAAATAAATTTATTCTAATCTTGTAAAAAGCATGTCCAATTATGTTAAAACAGTTAAGGATTTTAGAGAAAATTTATAAAATATAATATTTTAAAAAAATTTTTACATTATAGAAAAAATTTTCGTCCGTTTACTAATTATTGCTAACGTCCAGTGACCTTTGTCAAGGGAGTGTACATAAGGTTATGTAATATAAAGAATTTTTGTGATCTATTAATATAAAAAGGAAAACATGAATATTTTCTTACAAATACAGAAATTCAAGTAAATAGTAAAAAAAGCAATTAAACGACAAATTAATTTAAAACCTTGTATTATTTTAAAGTTGCAGAATTCGAAAGATAAAATATGCCAATCCTTTTTATTGTTGATTAGTAATTTGATGATGTCCTGAATTTTATGCAACAAATAAATAACACAATACTATTTTTGGAATATTAGTAGTTAAAACATAAATACGTAATTGATTTTCTACAACAATACGTACAGCATTCTGCTATGGTTAGGTTAGTCTATCCCCACAATGTCAGACACATGATCTGTTGTAGCTATGTGTATGGTCGTTCATAGGGTCCGAATTGACCGTTTTCTTTAATTACTGTACTTTTTTCTACTTACTGGTCTGGATATTCCTTGTCGGCTTTGATATTTCGTTGTCCTTCTCTTCAATTTTCAATATATATATATTCTGTCAACCGCAAAGAAAGAAAAAAAATAATAAAAATAAAAAGTAACCAAATCCTTTGATAAATTTCTAGCTCATCAATAAACTCGGGTTTTATCAAACGAAAGGGAAACACAAGGTGACTGCAGATTACGCCGAGTCTTCAAAAAGAAAAGAAAATATTATGACCTCACAACAGGAACCCCAACAACAGCCACGGGTACAAAGTTTCGAAGGACATCGTTTTAGTGGACAAGATGGTGGTGTCAATATAGAAGCTAATCTACAACAGCTTATAAATGAGCGTAATCTATTACGGTCACAGAACGATCAACTGTGGAAAATCATAGAGAGGCAAAAGACAGTTATAACTAATCTACAAAAGGATAACCAAAAGTTGGGTTACGAGAGAGATAGACTTATTACGAGATTAAGAGAATTGGATAGCGGTTTCAATCGTTTAGAGGATGGCTCCACGTCCGTTAGGGGGGGAAGCATAGATGGTAAAACTGTCACAGATAGTGCTATCCTGGTTCAACAATTAGGAATTGATACTGCTAGAGTACCACCAGAAATCGGGAATTCAATTAATCAATCAAAACCTTCATCACAACAAAAGCCCATCCGGACACAAGAACCAAAGCGAACACCTTTAATATCGGAAGCCGAGTCATTAACTTCAAAACAATCTTCCTTGGTAACAAGACAGCCAAACCAAGAAGCATTACAACAAGAAACCACCGTTTCTTCAACAGTGACTTATGACGAACCTGATATACAATATCTTCCACCTGTAGTCGTCAGTGAACCTTCTCCTGTGAAATTAAATGGTATGTTTCAGGTTTCAAACAAATTTAAAAATACAACATTTCTAAGGTATTGTAATTTCAATCATTCCTACCACATTGTAACCCAAGTTTTCCCTCCACAGATTCATCAGTTGATAATAGCGTATCCCAAGCTCATGATTTGGAACAAACTTCTCAAACACTCAAGAAACGTCAAGGTTCCCAACCGTCTTTACAAGATCCTCCCTCACCATCAATGTCGATTAATTCTTTAGAATCTGGAAGTATTAGCAGCAATGGAATTAGCCAGCACAGACGTCAAAGTACTCCACAAACTATTGACACAGGGTTGGACTCACCAACAATAATCAGGCGTAATTCTGAAACTAATAATTCTATCTCATTACCTAACTCGCCTCGCAAATTCCCTTCGCCTCTTGAACCAATATCAAAAACGTCTTTTCCGCCGCGTTCACCTGGTTTACCATCATCTCCTAAAGCTTTTTTACATGGCATTGATCTGACAAAATTATCTCAACGGGATAGTGAAGAACAATTAAAAGATTCACATAGTCAAGTTGTGAATGTCAATACGGATTCTCTGAATGCGAGTGACCAATCATCGGAGAAATCATATCCTGTTAGGTCACAGTCATATCCCCAGAATAATGAGAAGTCGTCATCGGTTCTTGGCAATGATTCCATGGATAATTTAAAACCCCAAAGAGATTCTATAACACATAATCTTAGCGACCCCAGCCTTGGTAATACTTTCTTGGGGTCAGATACCATCCCAAAAGAGAAATCTCTGAGAACGAGTAAATCTTTTGGTCATATTCCTCAGAGTTCACAAACATCTATTTCTGTAACTCCGTCAGAAAACCGTGATTCTGCCCTAGGTAATAATACATTGTTTATTCCTGGAAATCAAGGAAAACGCCATAGTGTTTTCATGCAGCCTAGCAGAAGTCAAGTAGATAGTCCTGCTGTCGAACATGTATCACAACACATAAAAAACAAAGGATCTTTTTCTGATGCTAGTGTGGTTACAGATCCATCATACGGCCAAATTTCGCAACATCAAACCTCACAATCACAGCAATCTAACTCAGCTTCACAGCAATCTAACTCAGCGTCACAGCAATCACAATCACCACCTCCTTCAAAGATGCCTTCGAAAATATCCTCTGAAACTATTTCTGGTATCGCAGTTAAGGTTATCGGTAGTAATAAAAAGATAAATGATAAAGGAAAGGAGGTTTTGACATTCATCTTATCTGTTGGGCAAGCCAGAGTCGTCGATGGTACCATAGTTGGAATGGAAAAAGAGCTATGGAGGGTCGAGAAATTTTATTCTGATTTCCTTGCTTTGGACGGAAAAGTATGTTATTACAATTATATATGATAGGTAATTTTGTCGTTTGACTATCTTCTAAATTAAAAAAAAAAATTTTTTTTCGTTAAAAATAAAGTTAAAACAACAAAGCAAAAGAGTCGCAAATATGATGAAAAAATTGCCCGACAAGAACTTACTTTATAACAACGCACCAAGCAAGGTTGATCAACGAAAGGTTTGCGATCTTTTCAAATTAATTTTTATTATTAACTTGTTCTGATGCTACAATATCCTTATTCAAAAAAAATAATAATAAATAAATAAAATTAACTATAGACTGCTCTTGAACAATATCTCCAACACATAATATCGCTACCACTGAAGGATTCCAAAGATTTATGTGAGTTTCTTAGTGCAAATGTCATTGAACAAGATAGTAAAGATCTTCAGGTTCGGATCAACAAATGTGTTTCCATTTTGATTTTATGCTTATTTGCTTGGGTGAATTTAAATTCATATAATTTTAAAAAATTGGTTTAGCAACCTGGTTTCAAAGAGGGCTATCTTACAAAGAAGGGAAAGAACTTTGGCGGTTGGAAGACGAGATTTTTTGTATTGGATTCACCAGTTTTGAAATATTATGAAAGCGTTAGTGAGAATTAATATTTTCATAAATTTTTCAAATATTTTAATTTTATTAATTTTCAAATTGAACGAACTTTATAGAAAGATGGAAATCACCTCGGGTCTATTCGTTTGACTCACGCCCAAATTGGTCGACAACAAAGTAATACTGCGAATGATTCGGAGAAAGATAATGAAAATTCTTACAGACATGCATTCCTAATTTTGGAACCGAAGCCTGGTTCTAAAACCCAAAATACACGTCATGTATTATGTGCTGAAAGTGATGCAGAAAGAGATGAATGGGTGGAAGCATTGTTACAATACGTAGGCGTTGCTGAAGAGAGCAGTAAACAAAAGAAAGACAAAAAGAAAACCAATACACAAACCGTCTCTGAGCAAAGTTCGAGGGAAAATAGTTTAAAGAACGATTCTCGTCACGAAAGAAAAAAAGGCAATAACGATTCAATATCAAGTACGAATTCGAGCATGCTTTCTGTCAGCAATCACAATGTTGGCGCGTTAAATGGTCGAGAAGATATTGATCGTCCAATAATTCGTAACGGAACTCCTGAACTTCGGGAACCTTTACTGGTTTCTTCGGTTGTTAGTTCATCGTCACAAAGTTCCCGGGATGCACAATCACATGGTCAATTGAATGTTAGACGTGACCGATTACAGGAGGATGATCAACCATCATCAGAAAAAAAGAAAAATTCACGAAAAACTTTCTTTGGAAACATGTTTAGCAGTAATAGGGATGAAAAAAAGCGATATCATGATGCACGACCTGACACTTCACGAATTGTTTTTGGTGTTCCTTTGGACCAAGCTATTTCCGTGGTGCGAATAAAAGAAGGATATGAGCTTCCTGCTGTAGTTTATCGATGTATAGAGTATTTGGACGCAAAGAATGCTTCTGAAGAAGAAGGCATCTATCGTTTAAATGGTGCAACTGCTACAATTAAGTCATTAAAAGATAGGTTTAATACCGAGGGAGATGTCGACTTGGTGAGTGAAGGAGGATACGACGTACATGCAGTAGCTGGTCTACTGAAACTCTATTTAAGAGAACTACCTACCAGTGTACTTACTCGTGAGTTACATATGGAGTTTTTAAACGTTATTGGTAAGTCATATATATATATATAAACTGTTAATATTTCATCACGGTTTAATATGTTGATTTACTCATTTTAGACCTACTTGATCGACGAGATCGGGTTAATGAACTTGGTCGCCTAGTATCCACTCTCCCTTTACCAAATTACACATTGTTACGAACATTGGCAAGGCATCTGATTCAAATTGTTCAAAAATCAGATATCAACAAGATGACCGTACGCAATATAGGGATCGTATTTGCTCCCTCATTAGGCATTCCCGCTGGTGTTTTCACCCTTCTCATGGCTGAATTCGATTACATTTTTTTCACCGACAGTGATGGTTCCGCAGCACCAAAGACATTGGAAGAAGCACCCAAGGGCCCAGAGAATCAACACTCAACAAGTGATCTTACCCTTAATTCAAAAAACCCAACTCCTGATACAGAAAGTTCCCAGAAAATAAGGGATGATCCTGAAGGCGATTCTACTTTGTCACCGACCGCTGCTTTTCGTCGTAGGGATATAAGAAATGAGCTTAATGGCAGGAGCAACCGAAATAGTGTACATTATATGGATAGTGCGCCGGAAATTGTTGTTGGTTTAGAACGGAAACTCACAGGTATGATACCACTTTACTAAACATCATTTATTTGATAGCTTTTTTCTTGTCTAATAAAAATTATAATTTTAGCAAGTAAATCAACGTTTAGTCGAAATGATTCTTCGGATGACGAAGTCAACGATCTTGCCCTTCAAATCGAAGATGATGTGGAAAGTATATCGTCTGTTTCCGCTGACGATCTCAATACTTTATCACCACCAATTTCTGTACCAGCTTCACCCCGAAGCATACCAGCACCACCTCCACGATCAAATTCTTTGTTAGAGGATGGGAAGTCAGAGTCAGAGCCACAAAGTTCATTGGTAGACCGTTAGAAATTATATCGAACGCAAGCATGGATCAAAATAATGACGTTCAATAAATCGGAAACTAATAATCATATCGGAAATGCATATTGATCGGATTCACCCACCCCATTTAAATTTGATTTCTCGAGTAATTTATTTATTGTACGGAGAATGATAATTTTTTTTTTCTTTAATTTACAATCACATAATTTTTTTGATATTTCTTATTTAAATTTTTGTTTTGTATTTTATACACGTAATTACATTATAATATTATATTTTCTTATCGCTAACCTTGAATTTTTGTATATAATACTAAATAGTATATAAAAGATGGATGCAAAAAAAAAAAAAAAATCTTATTTTACCAAATAAATTGCGGTTGTTGGATAATCATCTAGACGCATAACTGCAATTCTATTTACAAATAAATATATATTTTTAATTAAATATTTCCTTAATCACGTTATACACATGCCAAAATATTGTCTATTTGTTTCACCATATCAATTGCATGAAAATACGTCCATGTGAAAATAAATATAAATAAATAGAAAAAATTTTAAGGTTGTAAAAGTTTAAAAATATAGCAGTCACACGACTTTTTACACAAATTTTAGATGTAAATTCTTGTTATAATAAAAAAAAATTTTTTACTTAATAATTTAATATAAATTTTGAAACTCGGATTATTCTTCATTTGTTTATAAACTTTGAATATTTTTTTTTAATTTGATAGATAATGTGATAGAGAATAACTTTACTCATACTCCCAACTCAATATTTCTTAAACTTATGAAGTTTATCTAGAAGCAAGTGAAATTTTTATAGTAAACCTCTAAAATTTAAAATTAATATAGATTCTTTTCACTGAGTCAAAATTTAAAAGTTTATTATGAAAATTTTACTTGCTTCTAGGTAAACTTCATGGGTTTAAGAGATATTGAGTTGGGAATATAAATAAATTAAAAAAAAATATTCAAAGTTTATAAGCAAATGAAGAATAATCTGGATTTCAAAGTTTGATTTAAATTATTAAGTAAAAAAAAATTTTTTTGTTATAACTTAAAAATTCATATGAAAAGTTATATGACTGATAGTAAAATTTTTATATGTTTATTAAAAAAAAATAATTTTTTTTTCAGATAAAAGGTGTTCTATAAGCAAAAGTCTATTTATTGTTTATTATAGAAATAACTTTTTCTTCTATTATTATAATAAATATTTTTGATTTATTAATATTATTTTATTTTATTTTATTTTTAAATATTAGTTAAATCTTATTATATATTAATTAATTTTTAATAATAAAATTAAATATATTATAATTAAAATCTATAAGTTTATAGTATAGTAAAAGTATTTTAAATTATGATATCCAAATTTTTTAGTTTAATTTTATTAAAAAATCAAAATTATATATATATATATAAATTAATTCTTATATATATAGTATAAACCAAAAAAAAAGTAAATGTGTATATAAAAAAAGTTTTAATTATATTATTTTTTAAAAAATTCTATTTATAATTTTTATTAAAAAATATATTTTATACTTTAGAAATATAAAAAAAACTTTTTTTACTTTTTTTTTTTATACTTAATTTTTTTTTATAAAATTTTAAGTTGTTTATTTTTTTTTTTGTTTTTTATTTATTTTATTTATTTTTTATTTTTATTATTGTTTATTTTTTTAATTGGCCAAAAACATTATATATAAGGCTTTTTATTAATAATTATATATCCAATTATTATATCAAACATTTTTACAAACTAGACTATTTCTATTCTAAATATAAATTAATATTATCTAATAAATACTATTTTTAATACTATTGGTTTTTCTTAAGCTAAATTAACTATTCTAATTAATTAGTTTTATATCTTAAAAATAGATTTATATTAAATATAACTTATACAAAAAAAAAGAAAATTCTATTGCTAGTTTAAATCTATTTATTTTATTAATCCAATTATGTTTTTTAACTATTTACTGAAGAAAGATTATATCTCTTAAATTATAATGCAGACAAATTTGCTTGCATATAATTTTAATAAGTTTTTAAAAAATTTTAAATATTAATTTTTATAATTTACTTATATTATAAAAAATATAGTTTAAAATATTATTTATTAATTTTATTGATAATTTTTAAATAAATAATTTTAAACTTTGTGTTTAAAATTTTAATATAAAAAATTATATAAAATTTAGTATATATTTAAAATAAAAAAATTATTTTACTTTTAATACAAGTTAAAATTTTTATAATCAAATTATTAAAATTGTAATACAGTCAAACCTCTTTATACCGATATTTTTTATACTGATACCTATTAAAATCTCACTATACCGATATTTTCTCAAAACCATTCTTAATTAAAGTCATTTTTTTATACCGATATATTTTCTTTATACCGATATTCTAAAAAAAAAAAACCACCTTTAATTAAATTGATTTTATATACTGATATTTATAATAAAATTTTATATACCGATATTTTTTGCTAAAAATACCAATTATATCAGTATAAAAAGGTTTGACTGTAATTAAAGTTATTCTTTACAAATAATTCTATAAAATTGATTATAAATTATATGAACTTTAACTCAAAAATTTTTTTAAGTTTGTCTAAAACCATTTTTTATTAAAAAATAAAAAATAAATACTATTAATAAATAATATATAATTAAAACCAATATTATATAAATGTTTAGAAAAAAAAATAAATAAAAAGTAACTTTTTAATTAAAAAATTTTAAACATTATAAAAAAAATGCTTTACAATTTAAGGAATAAAATATTATTATAAAAATTAATTTTAATATTTTAATTATTGTTATTATTAATTTTAAAATATATTATTAATGTAATACATTATTATTGTTTTTATCATCCTAAAATTGACATTTTTACTTGAATTTCAATTTAATATTGTTAACTTTTACTAAACATATTTGAATTTATAATTTTTATCTAAATTCTTATTATCTGTAATTGATATTTTATCTTTTAATCATATATTTAAGTTCTATAAAACATTACAATTAAAATAAATCTACAAGCTTCAAATTGAAATAAATTGGTTTAAAATTTTCTTTTAAAAAAAATTTTTTTTCAAGTTTTTTTTTTAAAAAATATTGTTTTTTATTTTTCAATTAATATAACCATTATTATTAAATTCAATATTATTTACTTATTTTTTATTTTTTTTTTAGTCTCTAATCAGATTGCAAATGAAAGTATTTATTAATCCAATTTTTGAAGAACAATAATACAATATATATGATATTATACTAAAGCTAAACTAGCACAATTTTACAGAACACCTGTTAATGAATTTATATTTGTATGTGATTCTTGAATCCTTAATACTAAGACCATCATGTTGCCCACATGATTTAGCTATTTATTAATTATCTCACTACAAGGGAGTAGGTTCATTAAGCTATTACTATGTAATACTAACTATTTTAGATTTTCTAAATCTAAACTCTCTAGATGTAATTATAGGAAATGATAATATTGCTTCTTTTCAAAACTAGGTATTAAAGACTCTGCCTTGAAGGAATAATAAAAGAAATAGTTGAAAAGTTTGTTCTGATAAATAAAAACCTTTCAATATTAATCTTGATCCATTGGAATAAATCCTTTATCACCACCTGCAGCTGGGTAAACTATTTAATTTTCACTATTATATTGCTGACCAAAAACATTCAAGGTACTTATAACAAGTCTTATACCTATAAGGAATTATTGCTTGGAATAAGATTTATACCTTAGGAAATTATTGCTTGATGCCTTCTCAGGATAATCAACAGTGGAGGGAGCTTGTTATTGGATTGAAATGAGACTTTTTTTGATATTAAAGAGAAAAGAAACCAGTTCAAGAAAGGAAGGAAAGTACCATAACACATCTTGACAAAATAGATATCTCATCACCTTGCTCTTTTTACTATATCCAATAGCATTATCAGGTTTCTTGTTATACAAGATGGAACACGTGGGAGTTATGTGTCTTGTTTATATTTCTTGTTACATATAGATCAACTAGTCCAAATTTCTAGCCAATCATTATTTAGGAGTTCCAGTGTAACCAAAAATTCAGGATCAAATTGAGGTAGGTAAAATTCCTCAAAAAAATCAGAAAAAAGTATACATGCCTGAAAGGATAGGAGAGAGACTTGAGAAAGATAAGAGAAGAGTTTCAGAAATCTATGCTGATCTTTTCTGGAATCTTGAATCTCTGGAAGAAAAGAGGAGGATATTTTTTCTATAGGTTTTTTTTCTTAACAAAGTATTCTTGCCTTTAACTTTGTAGGTAGGTTTTTCTTATATTTACTTGTTAAAATATAAGAAGTTTATATCAAAGAGAGAAAGAAACAAGAGAGGGTAGACCAAAGTCTCTAAATATAGATATTGTTAAGAAAAGTGTATAGACTATATTATAAAGAAATATAAAATTTCTTTGAAATGTCTGTTTTTGTGTTAATAAGAGGATCAGCAGAAAGCTATACTTTAATTTAATATTATTTACTTATTAATAATTAAATTAGATATACTGTATTATTATACAATTATTATTATTTGAACTTTCAAGAAGTTATATTTTATAGACCTATAGGTTCATATTATAGTATTTAGTATTTTACAAGTTAGATTATAAGATATAAGTTCAACTTTAAGTAAAAATAATTGAATAAAACATATATAGTATTTGGTACCATAACTTATTAAGTATTATTTCTTATATGAAGTCATTTTATATGCTGATTCAGCAAGTATTAAAATTTTAATTTTTTTGATAAGATGTTATAGTATAATAATTATCTAATAGATATTATAATAATCATTAGAATAGTTGAAACCTATTCATACATTTGAAAATATAGACTGGACTATATTTTATTTTAATCAATTCCAAGATATCAATCTTCTTTCTTTGTTGATGATTTAGTAAAGAGCAAATACTGTATCAATACTTACATATAATTAATTTTATAGTATCTGGATATTTTTATAATA